TGTGTGGCCTCCAGTCCTTCCCTCTCCCATATCTGAGCAATCAGGGCAGCTGCTTCACAGTCCCAAGCACTTGGGGGATACATAAGACAGCAGGAATTGCTTGGTGGGCCATGGAGCCCTGGCTTTCACCTGCCCTGCCCAGGTGACCTCCTCTCCCTCCTCTGTGCTCAGCTAACCTCTCCCCACCAGGAGTTGTCCCCTGCCCTGCTGAGGCCCCAGTCTCTAGTTCATAGCATTAACAGGAAGTAGTGACAGCATTCCCAGCTTTGTTGCAGAGATAATTCACTGTAGCTTTCAGAACCTCGTGGATGGCTCTTCACTCTGTCGGACTTCAAACCCCTAGCCTGGGAAGTGTGCAGGAACTCACTGTGCAGCTAACTGAGCTGTCCTGGATCCAGGCTCAGAATGTAGCTGGCCTAGGGGCCCAAGTGCACGCCACAGGGTGGAGTTTGTTGGTTCTGAAGTTGGGGCACTGTCCCCTTCCCATGCAGGAGTGAGATGAAGCGTTGGATGACTTCACTGGCCCCCAACAGGAGGACCAAGTTCGTGTCCTTCACATCCCGGCTGCTGGGTGAGTCCCTGACTTAGAAAAGGGGGCTCTCGGTCAGCTTTGGCTAAGACTCACTGGGCCTCAGCTTCAGGGTTCCTACTGCCTGTAGGGCTGCACTCCTGCCCCACAGAAGTCCATCCTGGTACCAAGCAGAAGCTCAGTGCCTGTGTACACTGGCTGTCTAAGCATCGCTCCAGTTGCATGGTTAAGGAAGAAACGGAAGTCCCAAGTCTTAGGATCCAGGTAGCAGAATATTGGACCCAAACTCCAGTGTTCTTTTGGACTTTCCAGTTGTCTAAAACTCATACAAGACCCAAGGGAGCATGAGCCTGGCTACCTTGTGAAGAAGTTACTGTCCCAGCCTGCTGGCGTGTGCTCACCCCAAGCTGCTTACTGGGTCACACCTGAGGTTCTTCCTGCCTTCTAGGCTGAGATCTGCATCATAGCTGTCAAATCCTTTCCCCAGGTTCCTGGTAGTCTAATGATGTGAGCACCTTTCTCCCTGATGCGCTGTCCCAGGTCCTGTTTTAGACAGGACTCAGCCACCTGCTGCTGGCAGCATTGTCCCTGGCACCACTGCCTGTTGTCCCTGCTCGTCTGGATGTGGGGCAGGGTGAAACCTGTGATGGGGACACACCATACCGCTCTCCCCTCCTGCAGACTGTCCCCAGGTCCAGTGTGTGCACCCCTATGTGGCCCAGCAGCCCGATGAGCTGACGCTGGAACTGGCAGACATCCTGAACATCCTGGAGAAGACGGAGGATGGTGAGGCTCCCAGGGGACTCCACATCTTGCTAATCATGCCCCTCAAAGGGGAGGGAGACTGATAGTCTGGGTGTTGGACTAGATGGCACAGTTAGCAGGCAGAACCCAGCATCCTTGCTGGCACTGGCACTACCCAGGGCATCCTGCCTGAGCATTGGACCCAGCATTCCTTGCTCCTTCCTCAGGCTTCTGGGTCTTCATTCTACTCTGTGAACTGTGAGGCTCCTTCCCCTCCCAGCAGGCCTAGCAGGTGGTTCTCTATCTCCTCCCCAGCCTTGCCTATGCCTCAGCCCTCCCCTAGGAGGGAGATTGACCCTGACCATCAGGCCAAAAAGCCCTGTTTCTGCCCATCCTGTGGGTGAAAGGCAGAATTAACTCCAAACAGGGTTTTTCTGTAGCCCTTACCCAATTTAACCCCAATGTAGCCAATGTGGCAATCCCCACTTTTGCATATTAACTATTCCTGGTCAAGATCCCAGGAGAAGCTGGGTATGATGGCACACACCTGTCATTCCACCATTCAAGAGGTAGAGGCAGAAGGATCCCTGAAATTTTACGAGTGGCCTGGACACGGTGTGAGAACCTGAGAACAACAGAGACAATCAAAATACCTGAGAAGAACAAAGGCCCCTTCCTGTCTCTCCTTTGTTCCATGTTGTGACTGGAAAACCAAGTGATCTCCACAGCATCCCTCTGGGGTCCCAGAGACCCCGGCCCTTTCCACAACATAATCCATTGCCTCGCACCTTCCCAAGGTAGCCTGCAGAAGCCATGCCTCTGACCTGGGTAGGGTCAGGCTGTTTAGCAACAAGCATGGCAAAGACTTCTTGGAGAGGTGAGACAGCAGAGAAAAAGTCAGGGCACCTGGGGACTCAGGGTGTCCCCAGGTTATAATGCTACCCACCGAAGCAACCACCTGGCCCTCTGAGTGAGATTCTGAGGGAATATGCCCAGTGAGAGGGGGAGCTCACTGTCCAGGTTTAGAAATTAAGTGGTCAGCTGCCTCCTACACAGGCTCCCTGGATGTCCCTTTTAGGAGTGGCCCTTCAAATATCCTGTCCTGGTGTGAGATAGCCTTGAAACATTCAGAAATAGGTTCCCACTTGTGAGAGACCCTAAAGCCTGGTTCTTCACACTGCATGTGCTTCCTGTAGAAGGAATCCAAGCTTAGCTGGGTTGCCAACTCATTGCTCTTTGGGAAATGCTGAATTCCTGAGTGTGGCTCAAGTCTTGCTTCCCACACAGAGGGGAGCCCTAGCTAAGGAAGCTTGCCTCACCCTGACCCTACTGCCTCTATTGCAGGGTGGATCTTCGGTGAGCGCCTGCATGACCAGGAGAGAGGCTGGTTTCCCAGTTCCATGACAGAGGAGATCCTGAACCCCAAGATCCGCTCCCAGAACCTCAAGGAATGTTTCCGGGTCCACAAGATGGAGGACCCTCAGCGCAGCCAGAATAAGGACCGCAGGAAGTTGGGCAGCCGGAATAGGCAATGAACTCTAGTTCAGGAACCAGCCTGAAGGAGGGGTGTGGGCAGGGGCAGGGAGCAGGCCCAGCAGAGAACCCCGACGGACCGACACAGGGTCTTAGGGAGGAAAGGCCAGTGCCTTCCTGGCAGCAGGAGTGGCTTGGGCCTGTACTGTCCCTGCCTACACAGTGGGGGCACTAGTGTCCTGGTCACTCACTTGCTTACACACTGGTGAAAGGCTAAGTATTTTAAACAGTATTACACCACCTCCTCTCCAGCCTCTCAGAGCTAGAAGAGGGTAGGCATGCTCCAGAGACCTTCCAGTGACGGGAAGAGGCCCAAACAGGGGTTCCTGGCCCAAGGCAGGCAGGAGGTGACCTCTGTCAGGTTCCCTGAACTGCACGTGTCCTTCCCCTCTTTGGAAGCTGTTAAGAGTCTACCGGGCACACCAGTGGGCCACCCCCGCCTGAGGGAACTTGGTGAGCAGGGCTGATGCTGCACGCCCCTCCCCGTACCTCTGCCAGCCTCTCTTGCACGGCCAAGCCCTGCCCTCAGCAGGCCTCCCAGAGCTTGGCTGAGGGTTCAAGCCTCTGGCTCCTTGAAGGGCTTGATGTCACTTGTGTCTCCTGGCCCTTGAAGGAGCCCAGGTGTTTCGCAGAATGAATTGATCACTGCATCCTTTTTGGTCATGGTTTTGAGAAAAGTAAATGTCATTTTTGGCTGCATTAAAAGAAGCATCCTGTATAAAATAAGGGACGGAGGCCTATTGTCTGTCTCCCTGATGTACACAGCAATGAGGTATTTGACTCTGGGTTGGGAGGGAGGAACAGCCTTCCAGGCTGGTAGGAGAAACCTCTCCCAGAGGAGAGGACAGACACTGACACCAGGTCTCAGAATGGGAATGATTTGGGCCTCTGCTTACGGACTCAAGAAAGGACTCTGTGGAAATGGGGGCTCCTGCTGCTGCTGCTGCTGCTGCTGCTGCTGCTGCTGCTGCTGCTGTGTAAGTACATATTTACAAGGCCACAGGGACTCTCGAGTATCAGTAAGCAGTGGCCCTTTAGGGGATCTCACCCCAAGCCTGGGGCCCAGACACTGGCCTCGGATGCTCCATTTTGCCTCCAGAGGTAGCTGGTTCTCCTACTACTGCTGCTCCTACTCAGGCCCGTCCACTCACTTACCCCTGTTTCTACCCCAGAGTGTCCACCCCACTTTTGTCCTAGGGAAGTGTCCAGGGCACTGTGCACCTGCCAGAGGATGGTCTGCATCAGAACAGGCCTTTTATCTGTTTGGTCTCTTGAGACTGTCTCCCAGTGTAGCCCAGATTGGCCTTAAACTTGAAGTCCCACCTCAGCACCCTAAGTAGGCATTGCAGGCATGTGTCGCCTGACTCAGAACAGGACTTGAGTTTGAGTCACTGGACTTTGTGTGTCTTCCCACAGAGCACAGCAAAGTTCTTGATGATCTTGAGACCTCAGACCCCTGAGCATTCCTGGACAGAGATGGCCCCTTGCCACACTGCAACCAGAGGGCCGCAGCTACCCTGGCCTATCTGGTGGTCTCTTCTCCACCTCTCCCCCAATTCTATCCCAGAGGGCAACTCAACTGCTGGGTCAGCTGGAAAAGGAAGAACAGTCCCAGGGAGAACATATACCCAAAATCCAGGTCCAGGAGTGTGTGCGCTTGGAGACAGGAACATTCTGAGCCTTAGGAGGAGGGCTGAAGACACAAGAACTGGGGTTCTGAATTATGATGTGGTCCCTCCGGCCTGAGTCAGGGGCAAAAGCCTTTACTACCCCGACCTCTGTCAGAGTCCCCCACCATTTCCCAGTTGGTCTCAAGGAATACGATGAATCTGAGTCAAGTTCTCTGGCTCTACTTCCCCCGCCCCCAGTCCCTCCCTTCAGGCGGAAGCACCAGGGGTCAGGAGTTCAGAGGCCCTAAGTCCCACTGCAGGGGGCGGGGACGGGACAGGGGGGCGTGGGAGGGCAGCGAGTGGTCCTTAGACAGCAGACACCTGAGCTCCCTGCGCCCTGCGTGCCCTCCGGGCACAACACACGCCACGAGGCCGCGCGTGCACATGCTCCCCGCCTGGAGCTTTCCACCCACGGCTCCAGGCACGCAGCGCGGCCCAACGACACACCCCCGTCCCTGTTCACATGCAGCTACACCGGCACGCGGGTTCGCACACGCGGGGACACAAAGGGGACAAAAGGGAGCTCAAGTTGCAGAGTCGCCGCGGGCGGGTCGGCGAGGCTCCTTTATTGGCTTCAAGAAGCAGAAAACTTTCTCAGGGCGACGACCACGAGTGCCAGCACCACGCAGGTGGCCAGCAGGGCGGCAATCACGATGGCCGCAATGGCGCCGGGCCCAAGCGATCCTGTGGAGGACAGAGGACCTTGTCACCCCCGAGGTCCAGCCCAGGCTTGGCACTTCATGCTGTTCTTCCTCCCTCTCCTCTCTCATTCTCCGCCCTCCCCTCTCCCTGCCCCGCCCAGACCCTACCTGTGTCCTGGTCTACCCCTGCAGGAGGGGTGTTGTCCTCTGGTCCCGGCGCAGAGGTGGGGAACGGAGGGCCTGAGGCTGCAAATTCCTGGCTGTGGCTGGTGCTCTCCAAGGGACCTTCGCCTGACGGCAATTCAATGGGCTCGTTCCACAGAGTGGGATTGGGCTCCTGGGGACCCTCTGCTGCAAAACCAAGGACAGGCAGTGGGGCTCAGGTGGTCTGCTGGCAGGGATGCAGACCCTCCCCACCAGATCAGCTGAGAGATGCCCTAGGTAGAACTTACGCTTAGTTCTACATCAGCCCACATCAGCCCGCAGGGTGAGGCACCTGGCTGGGAAATTCACTCCTGCTTGTGACCCAGAACACCCACTGAGCATTAAGAACACAGAAGGACAGATCGAAATGGGCAGAGAAGCAGGGTCAGTTGGAAAAATGTCTGTCCCTCAGGGCAGACACAGCTCCATCTTCACCTGGGGCAAAAGCTGAGAGTCAAAAACCTTTGATAGTGCAACCCCTACACTATCGATCCAATTGATTAATCGATCGATCGAGAAAGGTCAGGAGAAGCCCACCCAAGCCGCAGCCTCACATCAGGAGACCAATCTTGGGCATCTAACAGCCCCACCCCACCCCACCCAAGGCAAGTACATTGCTGCTGCAGGAAAAAGGGACGATGAAGGGAAGGTGACCAGCAAGGGGAGGTTCCCACACTCCCATCAGTCTCTGTCTGCACGTGAGTCCCTGAGTGGCCTTTTCACCAAGAGTCCTCCGCCTCTGGGGCTGGGAGTCAGCATGGTTGGGGGTACCCAAGGGATCCTGGCAGGAAGGGAGGGGCAGGAAGCACAGCATGGATGAGAGTGGTGTGATATTTCCACCTGCTGTGGCTCTACCTCCCCCAACACACACTGCTATAGGAGCACAACCTGTGAGGCCCAGAGCACCACACACCTTTGGACCAACCTCCTCCCCAAGACAGAAGTTCAAGGCCAAGTTGGTCACAGACGCTAAGATTTCCCTTCAGCCTGTCCCCCTGGCATCCCGGCTGATCCCTGCTCAATCCCTGATCTCAACTGGGAAGGCAAGTAATCCAGGAACGCTCAGTCCCCAAACAGGTCCCTCACACAGGTCCAGTGGACATCATCCCACCGTCTCATTAATTCTAACTGCTTGTGGCATAGGGACCATTTTATCCCTAACTGGAGATGAGAAAGTCAAAGGCTCAGGTTAAGTGGAGGCAGCCATGGTGGGATGGTCCAGGAGACAGGAGACAGATGATGACTGTCTCCTGACAGACCTCCAGTAAAACTGTACCTCTCTTACCAGCCCAGCCACAACCTGCAGGTCCCTGGGACTTCTCTAAGCCAGGGGCTCCATCTCTGGGTCCTCCCCCCCACCCTCCCCACCCCCGTGTGTAGGCTCAGCACAGGGACTGCTCAGGGTAGAGTCAAGGGACTTGTGTGTTTTCTGCCCATGGTGCCCAGCTAGGGCAAACAGAACACACAGCCAACGGGACTCCAGTCAGCCTCAAAATAGCCAAGTCATTCAGAACTGCCAAGGTCTGGGAAGCAGAAGGATCTGTGACCAGGACAGGGGAGGGGTAGTACCGTGCCAGGGTTCCTGTCCCGGTTTGATGCCACATTCTGGTTGGGAAGAGAGTGTCTTTGTTCTTAACTGAACAAATCAGGGTATGATGTCAGGAACTTTGGACTGCTCCTGCATTCGGGGTCAAGGATCAGTGTGGCAAATGTTGGTAACTTATAACTAGGTAAAAGAATAGTATGGCAAATGTTGGGAACTGGTAACTAAGTGAAGGCCATGCTGGGGTTTGGTAGATAATTTTACAACTTTTTTTGTAAAATTGGAATCTTCACTCTAAGATTTTGGTAGATCCCTGCTCCCTAGGTTCCACCATGAAACCTCTCACAAGCCTGGACTGAATCTGTAGACTCAGCTAGTAGGCAGGGACTACTGTCCTGTGTCACGGGGAGTCCCAAGACTAGGACCCTTTTCAGAAAAGACTGGTACGAGGCCTCCAAAGACTGCTGTCGCTTACTTCAGCAGGCCTCCCACTAACACGAAGAGCCCTCTGTAAAGAGGCAAAGTGACCTTGTCAGAGGAAGCAGTGTTTACAGCCTGAGAGCCCTCACGAAAGGCCTCAGCCTCAAACAGTCTAACCTCAGACTCCCAGGGTTGGACAGAGAAAAGCCCTGAACATGCCTGCCATACAGCAAACCTTGGGGTCTAGCGCCAGTCTACCCTGAGGCTCTTCAGGACACACCCCAAACAGGCCGGCCAGCAGGCAGGCCTCTTCCTATCCACAGCCAAAGCTCACCTCCAATGCCAGGAAAGCCTCCCAAGGATTCTGAGTATCAGGCCTAGCTTGTCTAAGCAGTGCCTGTTCCCTGGCCAGAGTCTGAGCCTGCCCCAACCAACCAAAGAAGCCCACAGCCCAGGCCTTATCTTGTTTTCCTACTCACTCAAGCCAGTCCCCGCCAAGTCCTCCAGGGAAGCTAGGAACTGTGTCAGTGTGCCAGCGGGAGAGGAGTGAGGATGAGAAGAAGGAGGGCCAGTCCAGGGCCCCAGGAGCAGGATGAGGAGGGAGTAGGCTGAGTGACAGCAAGTGAGGATAAGGAAGGGAGACATGGCAGGGGACTCCTAAGAAGGCTCAGTCCACCTTGGCCACAAGAAGACCTACCATATAAGTGTGAGCAATGTCACAGGACTTTCTGTTCTGGCAGAGGGGGCATGGAGTCAGTGCTACAAGTTTGAACACCTCAGGCTGTCCTCTGGCCCCACCACCCCAAGCTGCGCTGCCTTTTGGTAAATAAGTTTGCTCAACGGTTAGTCTGACCACAGACCCTGAGGCCAGGCGCCCATGCTCACACAGTCGGCCTTTGTGCAGCCATGAAGAGCCTTTTCATCCCCACCCTGGCCTCCTGCCCACTCAACCTGGCCTGCTCCTCTACCTCAGTGACTATGGCCACCGGCTGAGGCAGGGAGGATGGCAGGCTGGCCTGTGCCTCAACCTCAGGATGACTCCATCACCTCTTTCCTACGACAGAACTACAGCCCAGGAGAGAGACGGGGGCCATGGACCTTGCACACATCTACTCAGACCTGTGGGTCTAGGGCTAGTTCCAAGAATCTCCTATCTCCCCACTTCCAGGACAGTCAGAACCCCAAGACTTAATTGGCATGTTCATGCCTACTGTGAGCTTGTCGGTTCTTGAGGGGGCGGGCACCCTGGAAGAACAGGGAGGTGAGGTCAGTTGAGGTCCTGGCTATTCCCAACGCGTCTGTGGAAGCAGAGAGCCCACCCACCAAAGTTATGTGTACTCAGCCTGACTGGGGCTCTGGCTAGAGGCTTGAGCTGGAAGACCCAGCGGGAACCTGGGCTTCAGGGCTTTGCCAAGCAACTGCTTCACCGTGGCAGGGAACTGCACGGGGCCCAGCCCCTCGTCCCAGGTGATGGAAAATGCCTCCCAGCACAGTAAGTCACATCTCCCAACATCAGGGGTACCTCTGGCTAAATTGCCCCCCAAAACTGGATGTGTCCCAACCTATGGGAAGAGATGGTTCTCCCAAAGACCCCTTTGGGCTTAGCTGAGGGGCTGCGAACTCTGTCCAAACCCTGAAGATGGATTGAGGGTTGACCGAGCACTTGCCACCCTGAGAGCCCAGCCTGTCAGACCTGGTGAGGGAGACAGGGTGGTGAGTGTCACCCCATGTGGATGAGGAAGGGGCTAGGAGAGGTATGAGGTAAGCAGGCCGGAGCCCAGCCTTAAGTTGCTCCCTAGGGTGACTGGGGGAGCAGAAAGGCCCATGACCACCATCACCTGTGCCCCCTTGAGTGAGGCTGGAGTCCCCACCTTGCTTTCACAACAGAGGTGACCTCTCTCCTTCGGAGGTCCGCAGACACCCCTAAAGTTCAGGCTGCAGTGTTTTAAGAGCATTGGGGAACCCAGAGGTAGGCTGCCCTTCTGCCAACTACTGAACAGCTGCCAAAGGCTTATTCCCATGCCGAGCCAAGCCCACCTGTACCTATGTCCCCACTCTGAAGCTGACCTGGAAAAGCCCCACCATGCAGCCCCTCGCACCACACCCAAATACAGCCATCTAGGTGTCAGCACAGCGTCCTTGCCATTCACCTCTGCGGGGACAGCACCTAGGTCGTAAGCTTGCAGAGAAGGACTACAGAATTGAAAGGAATTCTAAGTCGCTGGATTTTCCACCCAGCAGCTGGGCTCTGGCCTCTTAGCCCTTTGCCCTTTGATGAGCCCTCTTGCTTCCCAGATTTAGAAGCCTCCAGATGTTCTACTGACAAAATACCTCCCAGAACTCCAGACAACCAAATGTCCTCAGCTCCGATACCCTGGTCACCCCCCCCCTACGTCAATGGTCACCTAACCCTGCTGCTAACAGTTCCTGACACATCATCTTATCCAGCTTCTACCAGTCAGCATTGTGGAAGCCCCTCTCTGCCCCCCAGAATGACCACAGTTGGGCATCCTGCCTCTTGTGAGGGGCTTGTGCCCTGCGGATACTGGAGAATCTGGTCCCATTGGTAATTGTTGGTTCTGAAAAGTTGTTGGCAGCAGAGCCAAAGGCCTGTGTCCCTTACCTGTGAGCACCGCAGGGGCTAGGACCCCAGAGACGAGCAGCAGAGCCATGCACAGGGCCAGACAAGATGCCATCCTGGCGGTGAGTGAGCAGTGTGTGGGACACAGAGGACTAAGTGGCTGGGCTCAGGCAGCAGGAAAGAGGCTTCAAAGAGCTGGGGAGGGTTTTCATCAATGCAAAGTCTGTCCTCCTGGGACACCGTGCCCGCCCCACACACATACACACGCGCACACACACACAGAGAGAGAGAGAGAGAGAGAGAGAGACAGAGACAGAGACAGAGACAGAGACAGAGAGAGACAGAGACAGAGACAGAGAGAGACAGAGAGGGAGAGAGAGAGAGGGAGAGAGAGGGAGAGAAATAGAGACAGAGAGGGAGAGAGAGAGAAATAGAGACAGAGAGGGAGAGAGAGAAAAATAGACACAAACACACACAGAGAAATAGAGACAAAGAGGGAGAGAGAGAGAAATAGAGACAGAGAGGGAGAGAGAGAGAGAAATAGACACAAACACACACAGAGAAATAGAGACAAAGAGGGAGAGAGAGAGAAATAGAGACAGAGAGGGAGAAATAGAGACAGAGAGGGAGAGAAATAGAGACAGAGGGAGAGAGAGAGAAATAGAGACAGAGGGAGAGAGAAATAGAGACAGAGAGGGAGATAGAGAAAAAGAGACAGAGAGGGAGAGAGAGAAAAATAGAGACAGAGAGGGAGAGAGAGAGAGGGAGAGAGAGAAATAGACACAAACACACACACACAGAGAAAGAGAGAGAGAGACAGAGAGGGAGAGAGAGAGAAATAGAGACAGAGAGGGAGACAGAGAGAGAAATAGAGACAGAGAAGGAGAGAGAGAGAGAAATAGACACAAACACACACAGAGAAATAGAGACAGAGAAGGAGAGAGAGAGAGAGAGAAATAGACACAAACACACACAGAGAAATAGAGGCAAAGAAGGAGAGAGAGAGAAATAGAGACAGAGAGGGAGAGAGAGAGACAGAGAGGGAGATAGAGAAATAGAGACAGAGAGGGAGATAGAGAAATAGAGACAGAGAAGGAGAGAGAGAGAGACAGAGACACAGAGAGAAATAGACAGAGAGGGAGAGAGAGAGAGAGAGAGGCAGACCTGAACTACCAAATAGCCCCACCCTGGAGAGGAATGGGAAAAATTGCTCTTTATTTCTCTCTACCTATTTCTCTTTTCTTCCTCTTCCTCTTCCTCTCTCTCTCTCTCTCTCTCTCTCTCTCTCTCTCTCTCTCTCTCTCTCTGACTCTCTTTCTCTACACACACACACACACACACACACACACACACACACCCCACAACATCCACATGTATTCCTGGGTCGCTGGAAGTGAACACTTTCTAGGTTTCCCAAGACAGAAGCCTCACCCAGGGACCTTGAGCATGACAAATGCCTTGGGGCCACTATGCCCAGGACTCTTGAGTGGCCCAGCAGTGTGCATGGACTCAGCTCAGTCTCCTCCCACTTGAGTTCTCAGCTGGGTCGGGAGAACGTGTTAAAGCTCCTTGCTTTAGTGCCTGCTAACACAATACCTTTAATGCACTTTCCACCAAAGTCCCCCCAGCTGCCCTAGACCCTTTCCAGAAAAGTCTTTGACTGCATGTCCTCTCTTGCTCCCTCATTCTTGCAGGCACTCTCCTCTAATCCTGAGACTTGGTTTCCCCTTTGAACCTTGTTCAGCTCGATGCCTTCCCAAGAGTTCTGTCAGGCAGTTGCTGAGCATCCACTGGTGACCAAGCACACTGTCCTCCACAGCCTCTGCCTGTGCCCACAAATAGACAACCAGCCCACATACCTCTCTGGTATGCTCACCATGGAAGTCCCCAAAGTCTCCCCCTCCATCTCCATTTCCAAGCCCCAGAGGTCCTGCTGCTTCCTCTACTTCATAGTTTTCCAAACAAAAAGCCAAATTAAGTGCTTTTCCTACCTGGGCTTCCCTCCACATACTCGCTCCCTCTCTGTGTTTCAGCTGCTGACCCTGACTGCGCTCCTCCAGGATGCTAGACTGCATCCTGCCCCAGGCCTTTGCACCTGCTCTCCTTGTCCAGAAAGTAGTGCCAGCACTGATCAGGTGCACAGTTCATTTCCTTCAGGTCTCAGCTTGGTCAGGCAGCCCGCATCCTTTCATCATATCACTTCAAATTTCCTCATAGCACTTACATTTTTATGAATTTTCATATTCCTCCTCCTTTTGTGTTAACTTCAGAGGAGAAACATTCATACGAGATGTATTAATCAGCCACTTGTTACTGTGACAAAACCCTGATAAGGAAATACAAGTGTATACTAGATAAGGGTATAGGTGACTATTTGTTGTGGGAAAGTACTTACAAGAGAAACTGGCAACCCAGGGTGGTCTCAGCAGCTTTCCGAGACCTGACTGGAACCCTGAAAAGAGACAGAATGTCTCTCTTCTCAGCCCTTTATTCCACATGTCTATATGCACCTGTAGCCATGCCCAAAATGGGCGTGGTTAGAGGCACAGGTGCCTAGGTCTCTCCCTACAATTCTCCATTTAGTCTAAAGAAAAGATTTAGACTTGAAACAAAAGTAAATTGTGTCAATATACAAAATGTCTTAAACATATATAAAGCATAAATACATAGAAGATGATAAGGATATTTATGCATCAAACATCGTGAATAGAAAGACCTTACACAGTATGACAAATTGCGATACCCAAATTATAAATCACCAGAAGATATAATGATCTACCTATATCCCATCCTAAGCATATCCATCCATCCCATCTAAACCTTAAACTTATCTGAAAGAGATAACCCAAGTCTGAACACCTCCTTCCAATCCCAACCCTAAACAATTGAAAACTAACCCCAAACAGGTGTAAATTATCCTTTAATGTCAACAGTAGGGAAAGGGGGCATAGTATTCTCAGAATTACTTCCTGATGAAATGGGCTGCTGATAACATCATGGGATCCTGTAGGAAGAAAATGTCTTAATAGTGAAAGTCTCGAGTAGACTAGCTACAACATTTGCACCCATTCTCTGTTTGGCGGGAGATGTTTGATTGAAGTTCTTATCTTGATTGAAGTTCTTATCTGAGGCTCTGACCCGAGTGTAATAAGAAGGTGCACCATATCAGTTAGCTAGTCTGGAGTTGTCTAGAGTGATGTAGTCCCAAACCGGTTTAAGGGTAGTAATCGTCAGTTCAGATGCATCAAGTTGGATCAGGTAGAACTGATGAAGTGGGGCCCCATTTTCTTTCCGGAGAGTTCAAAAATTGCTGTTAGGAAATTCTTTGTTTTCTGTGGAGGACTAAAGGTTAATGTCAACAAAGAAATTTCAACTTTTATGGGAATATATACCGGGAAATGCAACAATAAGGAGGATAATAAATATGAGGGAAATTAGACTTTCAGAGAAAGAACTAAGTGTAGACAATTGACAGTCCCTAGATTTTGTTTTCTTCTGTCTTATATTAATTGGCTTCTTGACATAATATAGAAACTCTGAATTTTATTTTAACAACATGCTTGGATTTAGAGGAGGTAGCATTGGTTTAAGTGATTTGGGACTAAAAGAGTACTAGGAAGTAAAGAGAAATAGATTTTGTAAAGATATAGGTTAAGAGAATTAGGCATTGGTACTAAATATCTGGTTCTTGTTTGTTTGATGGTTCTTTTTGACTAGCCATCCTCTCTTCTTTAGGTATCTACACATTCAGTGTCTTCTTGCTTTTTGGGTTTTCCTGTTAATACAAGAACAAAACATTTCCCTTTCCTTTGTGAGGTCTCCATGCACCTCATGGGATATGACTTTGTGGATGAGCTGTCATCTTTCCTTATCCCAAGGTTTCTCCTGTTTGGACGGAATCTTGATCAATTTTGATGGAATCCAAAGCTTTTCTTCTCCTGTGGAAACAAAGGTGAGACTCCTTCCCCAACATAACACATATCCTGGTTTTTTAAAACTGAGGTCAACACATCTTTGAAGTACACCAGCTGATTTAGTTCAGAAGTTTTTTCTGTAGTCCAATGTCTTTCTGCAGCTGTTTGTCCTTTCTCATTCGCATTAAGAAAGTTTAGTGTTAGTAAAGCATTATGTAATCTGTGTTTTGGAGTTTTTGCTCCCCCTGCCTGTGTATGGAGCATTTCTTTTAAAGTGCAGTTGCAGTTAGATCTCTCAACCACTGCTTATCCTGTGAGACTGTATGGTATACCAGTTATGTGCCTTATGTTATAATATTTGAAAAAATGTTTCAATTTTCTGGAGACATATGTTGGAGCATTGTCAGTTTTTATTTGGGTAGGTATACCCATAATAGCCATCACCTCTAACAGGTGTGTGATAACAGAATCAGCCTTTTCAGAGCTAAGAGCAGTGGCCCACTGAAACATAGAAAATGTGTCTATTGTACGGTACTCATATTTTAAATTTCCAAATTCTAGAAAGTGAAACACATCAATTTGCCAAATCTTATTTCTATGAATACCTTTGGGATTACTGCCTGCTGGTAATGGAGTTTGATTATAGAATGAACAGATTAGGCAGTGTCTTACTATTTCCTTGGCTTGCTGCCAAGTGATAGACAAATCCTTTTGTAAGCCTTTGCTATTTACATAGTGTTTTTTATGAAATTTTGAGGCTTCTAGCATACTTTTTTATTAATAAACAATCAACCTCATCATTGTCTTGTGCTAAAAGGACCTGACAGACCCACATGGGATCTGATGTGTTATATATATATATATATATATATATATATATATATATATATATATGATGAGTTCTATTCCTGATAATTTCTTTTTATTGTATAAACAGTAAAGTTAATTCTGTATCATCAAGAATAAATTTACAGGTCTCAATGTGTAAAATGACTCTCTCTGTATATTGAGAGTCAGCAACTATATTGAGAGGCTCTGTAAAATCCATAAGTACCATGCCTTTTGCACAGAGTTATAAGGGCTTTGAGCTACTTTACTTACATTTCCTGATTTATATTCTGTTTTACCTGATTTGTTTGCATCAGTGTAGAGTGTATAGACTCCAGAGATTAGTGTTTTTCTTACAATACATGGAAGGATCCAAATTGTTTTCTTTATGAATTTGATTCTCTCAGTTTTGGGATAATTGTTGCTAATCATTCCCAAAAATTTACTGCAAACCCTTTACCAATATTTATTATCCTTCCACAAGGATGAAATTTCCTCATTAGTTAAAGGTACTATAATTTCTGCTGGGTCCCTTCCAGTTAATTGACGAAGCTTTAATTTGCCTCTT